GCGCTGGCTAGAGCAGCGCTGCTGGGGAGGAAGGAGAAGGACGCGAGGGAGGAAGGAGGAAGAAGGAAGGAAGGGGGAGGAACGCCAGGGGTACTTACGTGGCTATGGTGGCAGCCATCTTCATCACCTTGGTGGGCGCTGCAGCAGAGAGTCCCCAGCCGGGGAGAGCTATACCAAGAAGCTTCGGGGCAGGGTCAGGCATGGCGGCCTGAGCTAGAGCAGCCATAGCTGCTTTGGGTTGTCCTTTGGGCATCTGAGCAGAGCCCAGTAGTTCGCCATAGCCTCGGCCTATGAGAGTGAAGAATGGGAGAGGCGGCCATGTCTATGGTGGACCTTGAGTGATACCTGCACTAGAAGAGGGACTCGGACATTGATTCTGGATCAGTCATTCAACATTGTATTATTATTTCTTGTATGAATAAGAGAAGGGGGAGATAAGGAGGAGGAGATTGTTGGGCGAAAAAGAAGAGCCTTTTCGTTGTCTTTGCTGGTGTACATCTTCTTTTTCTTCTTTCTTACTTCTTCTTCTTCCTTTAATCCTCTCTCTCTCCTCTCAAGTTTATTCGTTTCTTTCTGCAATTGGATGGCATTGTACTTTCTGGTGGATGTGTATCTCGAAATTGGCCAGGGTCATAACATTGGTATCAGAGCGGTTTCTACTTTGCTGGTGAGAGTTGACTTTGCTGCCCGAACCCTAACCTAAGTGGTTTTAGGGCAACACTTAGGGTTAGGGTTGGTTGGTTGAGGGAAGTGGGGCAGCATGGCTAAGGGAAGCTGCCCCCACCTGGTTAGGTCATGTGGGGTCAACATAGAACCTAACCAGGTTGCTTGAGAGTGAGATTAGGGTGGCGAGACATTTCGAGGAGACTTCATGCGGCGATTTGAGAGAGGCGACAGTTAGAGGGACTCGCTCCTCAATATGATTCAAGGGAGACACTTGGCAACTTAAGGGCTGCCCTCAAGTAGGCGAGCTTGAGGGTCAGCGGCCACTTAGCATCTACGGACTGCAAGTTGCTACTTCGTTCTTCAGCATTGACGGGGGATCCGGCGTTGCACTTTGGTGTTGGAGTCAGACCCTCCTAGGAGATAGGACACTAGTGTAGGGGTAGCGTTAGATGGGTCAGGAGGACCACATGAGAGGGGGGGTGAGTTCTATTCATCTCGAAGCTGAAGGCCACTCAGGTAAGTGTCGTGCACCTACGGGATGCCCATGTATGTGTGTATGGTATTGATTGTCCTGTTTGGGTATTCTGGGTTTCTTTTCCTACTCCTCTGTGGTCTTGATTGTGTGACTGAATGCATGTGATCTACCTACTCACCTGATGGATGGAGAATGAAGTATCTTGACCTGAATGCCGAGTCTTTCTACAGTGCTTTGTCTTTTCATTGTTGAACGGTTGTAGTCTGTAGGTTCTGCCAGAAGTTGAAATTTCGTTTTTCAGTGCAGTAGAGATTGAGCTAAGTTCATGTGGAACTCTTCTTGGTTGGGACCTGGTTGAGACCTACGTGGGACCCCCTGGGACCCAGTGGGATCGGGCCCAAACAAGAAGAGCCTCTGGACCCAAATCAGTTAGGCATTGACCTCTTGTCTTCTTGGTTGGGATACAAAGTCATTCTTCTTGGATTAGGACACCCACTGCTGAGGGGATCTTGGCTGAGATGTTTCGCATGTCTTCTGATTGCACTGTTCGTGGCTTGACTCGCACCCTGTACACCACTCAATTCTCAATTGTTGCATTTAGTTACTCATTGTCTGATCTGTTGTACGATCACGGAGCTGGTCAGACTGGACTCGAGAGGACCTCGTATGCAGTCTGATCAGACTGGGTCGTTGGATCAGACCTCTCATTGAGTTTGTTTGTTTTTGTTGCTCTCTACTTCGAAATGAAATGTCGCTCCGGCTAGGAGTTCTATCTTCTCTTCTCTAAGCTTTCAAGTTTGTTTTTCTGTGTTCATTTCCGATGCCCGTGGAGACCCGCTGTCACAAAGAAGAGAGAGAGAGAAGGGAGAGAGAAAAGGGAGGGAGAGAGAGTGACCGTCTGGAGTGGGCAAGGACTGGGAAGAGGAATGTTCATCTAAGAGAGCGGGGGAGTGAACCTCTTCATAGTCTTATTGATTCTTTTGCTGATTGGCGACTCTCTGACCCACCTACCACCAGTAACGGTCCAAGAATGGCTCAGCTAACTTCAGTCCAATGGCGGGCCATGTTAGACGCAGCCAGTGATGCAGAAAAACCACATGTGCAAGCACTCCTAAATAATGCCATCAAGAAGGAACAGGAGGCAGAGAAGGAGAGGAAAGAGTCCTTATTGGAGAGTCAAGTGGCCATCTTGGAAACTGTTCCCTCACTGACGAAAGAGCAGTGTGGGGAACAACTGCAGACTATACTCGCCGCATATGTTCAAGTCCGGAATATTGAAGATCATAACACTCAGATCACTGACGTCTTTGCAAAATTGCGAAAACTTCAGGACGACCTGACTGATATGACCCTCAAGTACCAAGAGTTGACACAAGAGGTGGCTGAGCTGCGGCAGGCCCAAGTGGCCAATCCTCTCCCTCTACCCCTGTGACTAGCAACGAGGCCGGGAATTCTGCAACTGCTGCAGCCCCAAGGTTGGAATCAGTAGGTGCTGGTCCCAGCTACGCCGGTTCCTATGTGGACCGAAAGGCGGTACAAATGCCGTCTAAGTACGATGGCAAGGAAGACATCGAGTCCTAGATCGGCTCCATGAGGGCCTACTTTGAGATTTTGGGGACTCAACCTGAGACCCAGGCGGTGATCATGGGAAGGAATGTTGAGCCAATCGTACGGGGCTTCCTAGAAGTCCAAGCGACGCGGGCTGGGTTCCAAAAGACTGCACTAGCCAAATGGCTTAGGACCACCCCGATTGCCTCCCTCGAGGATCTCCTTATCTCACAATATCAGGATCCACATGTTGCGGCTAGGGCAAGAATCCAACTTGACAAAGTCAAGCGCAACAAGTGGACGGGCTCCATGAAAGCCTGCAGACCTATCTGAGCAAGATGTTTGCTACACCTTGTTTGGAATTGACTGCTTTGTCTTGCTTAGATGTGGTTAAGGGCGCGGTTCCAACTAACTTCGCTAATCGCCTGGGCAGGGACTACATTGCATACACTGACTGGTTCACCCTAACGAAGGATATAGTCAGTTTGGAGGTTGAAGACCTCGTTAGCACGGCAGGCAGCAAAAAGCCCATGGGCGGCAGACGGTTCAAGGGCAGCAACCATTTTCTTGTGCATGACCTGCTGGAGGCCAAAGAAGAAGTCGATGCGGATGCGATCGAGAACAGGACTCCGATACAGCTTGTTCTTCAACCCATGAGTCCGATGCAAATAAAGAGGAAGAAAAATTTTATGCCTTTAAAAAGACTGCCAGCACCAAGGGACCGAATCGGAGTGTGGGGAAGAATTATGTCCAACTTCCCAAGGAAGTCAAGATCCCGCCTAAACCGGAGGACGCGTCTACCAAACCTTGTGTTGACCTCCAGATCACTGAGAATGACTCACGGGGCAGACTCAAGAAAGGGGTTTGCCTGCATTGCCAAAAACCAAACCATAAGGTTCCGGACTGTTATAGGCTGCAGGGAAACCAGAATCGGGCGTAGAGTCAGTTTCAGCAAACTCTACAACAGGGGAGTCCGGTTCTGTTGAAAACCAACAGCCCTCCCTTGAAGCCCAACCATCTGCTGAAGACAAGGCTAAGGTAAGCAATGTTTTGTATGACGAACCTTGGGAGGAGTCTGAGGCAGTCGACTTTCACTACCACTTGGAGCATTGGGCTGAGATGAAACAGCAGCGTGCCCAAAGGACAATAAAGTTGATTTTCCTAACTCCTCATAAACCATCGCTATCTCTGTGTTCTGATTGACTGTGGTGCTACGGCGAATTTCATGTCACCACACAGGATACGCAAGGTGGGCTTGGCGATGAAGCAAGTGGCCTTGCAGAACCCTTGTTGAACCCAAGTTGGCAACAAGGAAGTTTTCTCTTCCACGCATGCAGTCAAAGGTGTGCGCACCACCTTTGACAAAGGCAAGACTGTCACCCACGCATTGAACTTCTTTGTCCTTGACAAGTGCCCCTTCGACGCTGTCCTTGGGTTGGGCTGGCTGCAGTCCCAATGCGAATGGACCAAGTGGAAGGTGTCACTATTCATGGTCAAAGATGCTCAGGGGAACGAGCTTCCTGTCCTCTTGGATGAGAAGCACGAATCCCCAGTGACTTTTCTAAATGCGTCTGCAAGAAATGGCGCCAGCACAAGGAGGACGAACAGTTGTATGTTGCTTTTGTTCGTCCTGCCCATGTGCCTTCTACTTTTGCGGTAAGTTCAACTACTACTTCAACTAGTAATCCTACTTCTAATACTATCACCGCTACTACCTCTATTTCTCCTCCTTCTGATGGTCTAAATGATCCTACTGCTGATTCGGTCGTCTCGATACGTGACCTACGACTGGATCTAGGTGATCCTTTTGCTGATCCCTCACCCCCACCAGTCCCACCAGACATCCAAAACCTCCTCGATCAGTTTCCGAAAGTACTGGTCGAGCCACGGGGAGTCCCCACGCGATTGGTCCGACACACCATCGAGGAGGTTCAGGGTGTTGTTCCTCCAAAGGCCTGTGTGTATCGAATGGGACCCGGCGAGTTGGAGGAACATCGGCGGCAGATCGGTGAAATGATTGATAAGGGGTGGATCAAGCCTAGTGAGTTAGAATTTGGTGCTCCTGTTTTGTTTGTGCCTAAAAAGGGAGGCAAACTCCGCATGTGTATTGATTACCGCATTCTAAACCGCATCACAAGAAAGAACGCCTACCCTTTGCCTTGCATAGATGACCTGCTTGACGCCGCAGGTGGGTGCAAGGTCTTCTCCAAGATCGATCTCAAGTCTAGCTACCACCAGATTGAAGTCGATCCTGCGGACCAGCACAAGACTGCGTTTGAAACACGCGACGGGCTTTATGCGTTCACCGTAATGCCCTTTGACCTCACGAACGCACCAGCCACTTTCCAAAGCCTCATGGAGAAGGTCCTCCGCGAATAGATTGGTCGGTTTGTGGTAGTGTACCTAGATGATATTCTGATCTTCAGCAAGTCCATGGAGGAACACCTCGAGCATCTTGAGGAGGTGCTCGCTATCCTCAAGAAGACGCAACTCCATCTCAACTTGGAGAAATCAGAGTTTGGGAAGGATAGCGTCATCTATCTTGGGCATCGATTGTCTGCTGCAGGCCTAGAGCCTGAAGCAACCAAAATTGAGGTCATACGCGATTGGCCTCGGCCTGCGAACATTCGCGGACTGCGGTCTTTCGTTGGTCTCGCGTTGTATTATCGGAAGTTTGTACCCCGTTTTTCTATCATTGCTCGTCCATTGTCGCGACTAACCAGTAAAAATGTGCCTTATTCCTGGGATGCCGCGTGTACGGAAGCTTTTCGAGCTCTCAAGGAAGCCTTGGTAAGTTACACAGTTCTCCGCATTGCAGATCTCAAACTGACGTTCGTAGTCACTACGGATGCAAGTCAGTATGGAATCGGTACAGCGCTGCAGCAAGATGACGGCGACGGCCTACGCCCACTCGAATATTACAGCAAACGCATGCCCAATGTCAAGGTAGCCACTTCCACTTACATGTGGGAGCTTTATGCCTTGCGCATGGCATTGGATCACTGGAAGCACTACCTTTTGGGACGCCATTTCAAGGTCGTCTCATACCATGAGACCCTGAAGTGGATCAAACAGCAAACTACCCTGTCCCCTACCTTGCTTCGCTGGTTCCACGAGATTGACATTTTTGATTTTGAATTAAGGCATAAGAAAGGTTGTTATAACCGAGTAGCTGATGCTTTGTTTTGCCACCCACAGTAGATGACTTGCCTTGCTAAGTCCTACGACCTTTGGAAGAAACTGAGGGAGGAACTTGTAGAGCACACCGCCAAGGACCCGGAACTCAGTCCCATCCTTGAGCGGCTACGGACTGATCCAGGCGGTCAGCCTGGTTTTCACGAGTTTAGTGACTGATCTTCCGCCGCTACGGGAACCATGACCGTCTGTGTGTGCCCAACCATGAGCCTCACCGCACACACTTTTTGGATTTGGCTCATGGCCGGAGTGGGCACTTCGGCATGGCAAAAACGTACGCTAATTTGCTGTGACAGTTTGATTGGCCTGGCATGAAAGGGACTGCTGAGAAGTTTGTGGCTGAATGTCAAGTCTGCCAACGAATCAAACCATGCAGACAAAAGCCCATGGGGCTACTCACACCCCTACCCATTCCCGATGGTCCCGGGGAGTCTATCTCCATCGACTTCACTGACATGGGTCAGGTAAGCAAAAACGGTTATTCACAAGTCATGGTGAGTGTTGACCGATTTTCAAAATTTCTTAACCTGATCATTTTGCCGCCCCGCGCCCCAACAGATCTAGGGATTCGTGAATTCCAACAGAAATACATTCTGCAATTCGGAACCCCGAAGACTCTTGTGAGCGATCGGGATCCGCGTTTCATTAGCACTGAATGGAAGGATTTCACGTCTCACCTGGGAATCAAACTGTGCATGACATCTGGCCGACACCCCGAAGCCAACGGTTTGGCTGAGGAGATCAACCAGACGGTATTTCAACTTCTCCGCGCGTTGATTATTCCGGACCAGGAGACATGGGATGAGGAGTTGTATTCTGTTAAGGGGTTGTACAACAACTCCATTCATTCTGCCACCGCCATGACACCCAACAGGTTGCATTACGGTTGGCAGATTCGTAATCCGCTCGCCTACTTATTCCCCGAGCAGCCAGCTGGCTTAACACCTGGCAGGCCCGGCTTCAAGGCTAAGTATGATCGCTTGCTCAAAGTTGCTATTGCAGCTATGACCAAGCGACAACGTGCCATGATCCACCATGCGAACAAAAAGTGCCGACCATCGGAGATCCAGGTAGGAAGCTATGTCTGGGTGAAGATGTCTGAATTCTTAGAGGAGGAGGGAGTCTCACGCAAACTCCTCCCACTTTACTACGGGCCTTGGGAAGTTTTGGATGTAATTGGGGAAGATCACTTTGGCCCTTCATACGTTGTAGACGTGCCAGCTCACCTGTGCGCATATCCCGTGTTCCATGCATCTAAATTGTATCTCCACCGTGATGCCAAGACATTCGATTACCGTGAAGATATGATCCCTCACACAATCAAGGGCGGGCATGCGATAGAATCAAACAACATGTAGGTAAGGGGAGAAACAGACAGTACTAGGTTCATTTTATGTATCACCCGTTAGACGATCTGTACTGGATCTCCAAACAGGAACTGCTACGCAGCGCACCGCGCGTTGTTAAAGCCTAGGAGCGACAAATCGCTGCTAACGCCACACCAAAGATCTCAGCAAAGCTCACTGCGACAAAGTATTCCAGGAATCTCTTTGCCTTGCTCGCCTACGATGCGTTTGCCGAGGACTCAGAATGAGTTACTCGCTCGAAGGGACCTCGCTCTTGAGGGGGGGGTAGTGTGATAACCCGTCCAAACATGGACTGAAACATACAGCTGATTTCTGAGTTTTGCTCATAGACGGAATGCCCTACTGAGTTCCCGCTTGCCAAGTCAGTGTGTGTGTGTGCTCGCTGGACTGCATGTCTGTCTGAGTGCTGGTTGGCTTGCGTGCGTGTGACTGTGCCTGTCTGAGTCCTGCTTGGTATGGGTGTGTGTGCCTGTGCCTGTCTTGAGGGGGGGGTAGTGTGATAACCCGTCCAAACATGGACTGAAATACACAGCTGATTTCTGAGT